TACACTGAGAAGCGTGAGACAGTTTCTAGATAACAGTGGTTTGCTTTTTTTCAGGGACAACTTCATTGAGTGTAAAACATTGCCTGCTTACTAGAGCGTTAATCATAGCAAACAGATAACACTGAAGTTCCCCTAGGCAACCGCCGTCAGCATGTAGCAGCCGACAGCTGCTTAGTATTAGTATTTAGGGAGCAAGAATCTCTAAACAAAAAACTAAAACAGATTACTGAGATTGGCTGGGAAAAGTTACATGATGCATTACTGAGTGAGGAAAAACACAAACAAGTAGTTTTCCACAAGTTGTGGAACACGAGTTGTGTTTTCCACAAGTAGTGGACACTTTTTTGATAATTTTACAACATAACACAAATTATTTGCTTCTTGTAGAAGATAAGAAAGCCAGTTTCCAAAGGAAAAAGCTGAACAAATTTTCAGATCCTACATGACCTCAAATACGCTGAACTTTTAGATGAGGGTTTTTGTAATAGAAAAACAATATCATCCTTAATTACTCAGAAATCTTGAATGTTAGAGATTAAACTCAGAATTTGAGAGTTGGAGACTTATTATTTGGGGAAAATATCAAGATACTTTGATAAGTTTACTAGCACCGTGCTATACACATAGTAGGCAAATGCAAAAGATTTATTTGATTTAAATAATAAATATATATTTTTTGCTTTCAAAAAAAGGTATAGATATCCTCAGAGGTATGGTGTAAATTTGCTGCAAAAAATAGCTTTAAAAAATAATACGGATCTTTTTGTGAGAGCATGTCATTAGAGAGATGCTGATACGTTACCTATATAATGAGTCTTTTTTTTTTTTTTTAAAGATTTACTTATTCATATAGAATTGGGGTACAGGCCAGAGATGCAGAGGGTGAGAGGATTCAACAGAGACAGAGTGGGGAGCAGAACAGGCAGATCGACGAAGTACACTGCTGAGGAGAGCAGAGGGCTGGTCAGGAGAGGTCTGCTGCGCCATGTGGATCTCTTCCGGGCAGGCGGGAGTCAAACTCATGAGGTAGTGGCTTAAGCTTCTTAGGGCTGTGCTTTAACCCGCTGCACCACCAGGGAGGGCCTATAATGGGTCTTTTTTAAAGAATAAAAAAGTAAAAATTTTTTTTGTGTTTTCTTACTTTGGGATCCTATCTTCCAGAGGATACACTGGCTTCCTCTTTGGCAATACCTTTATCAATTTTTTTGAATAACAACATCCTGAATTTCCTTTCCATCCTAGCCAAATAGATTGATTTCAGGGTAGAAGCTAGACAATTAGTGATTAATGTAATGTGCAATAAGGAATACATAAGATAGTAGGGGACCAAAAAGTAGCCGTACCAAACCCCTCCTGATGTCATCAAGGAATACAGCCCCCAAAAGAGAACTATTTAAAAGGAGCAGAAAGGGCGCTCCCTGGTGGCGCAGCAGGTTAAAGCGCAGCACTAAGAAGCTAAAGCCACTTCAGCAAGAGTTCCATCCCTGCCCTTGGAGGTGATCCACATGGCACGGCAGACCTCTCCTGGCCCGCCTGCTGCTCCCCTCAGCAGTGTACTTCAGCCATCTGCCTGTTCTGCTCCCTACTGTCTCTGGTGAACCTTCTCACTGCCCCTGCACCTCTGGGCTGTACCTCAGTTCTGTATGCATAAGTAAAATAAATCTTTTTTTTTTTTAAAGAAGCAGAGAAGGGAAGGAGATGGATAAACATATGTATATTCTAGGTTTATATATGTTATTCACTTAATGCTCTCAATAACTCTTTCAGACAAATTGTATTGTTACCCCTGTTATATAATGGACAGAGCCAAAGAACAATCAGATTAAGTAAATGACCCATGATTATACCATTTGCAAATTCAAACCCTGCAAGGCTATTTCCTAAGTCGCTGGTCTTAATCAAGATAAAACCCGGCAGGAATTAATGATGTTCTAGCTCCACAGGGGAACAGAATACATAAAGTAATGAAAATATGATAGAACATGGTTTATCCAAAAACAACAAGGTGTTCAGTATGGCAGGAATGTGAGTTATGGGGGGAGGGGAGAGAAGGACACTGAAATGGCAGACAGAAGTCAATGCACAAAAGGACCCATTTGCCAGATTTTATCACATAGCAAGTTGTTGAAAGGTTAATCAGCACAGTAACATGATCAAAACAGATTTTTGAAGAATCCCTCTGGCACGGTACAGAAGATGGGTTAGAATAGGTCAAATCTGTTGTCACAGGTTACTATTAGAAAGTATTTGCATTGTCCTAACATCCAAACCTAAATGATGAGTTCTGTACCAGTGCAGCAACATTAGTGATGGACAAAGAGGAGGTGGAGTTGAATGCAGCAAAATGAAACTGCGACATTTGTCTCAAGTGTGTCAATAGTATTCTGGAAGGAAATTAGACAATGGAGTTCCTGTATTTCCTTCTAGCCTCCTGTTGATGAAATAGTATTCGTTAAAGTCTTCAAGGAGTCAAGTATAGCATCTAATTTAGGTAAACATTATGTACCACCTTTCAGAGTAAATATATATTATTATTTTTTTAAAGATTTATTTATTTGTGCATACAGAACTGGGGTACAGGCCAGAGGCTCAGGGGCAGTGAGAGGCTTCACCAGAGACAGAGCGGGGTGCAGAACAGGCAGATCGACAAAGTACACTGCTGAGGGGAGCAGTGGGCGGGTCAGGAGAGGTCTGCCATGCCATGTGGTCACCTCCGGGGCTGGCGGGATCGAACTTATGCGGAAGCGGCTTTAGATTCTCAGTGCTGTGCTTTAACCCGCTGCGCCACCAGGGAGGGCCAAATATATATTATTTTTAACTTAATGTCTGCAACACTGAAGAAACAAATGAAAATTAAATCATTTATTTTACAAGATTTTTAAAAGACATGCCACATAAACATTTATACATAAAGGAAAATAAGAATTCTACACAAAAGGTTATCATCATGACATTACCATCACTGTTACCTTTAAAACCTTTCCTTGGTTAAGCCATTCAAAAACAATAGACCGGCAAATTTTGTTACTGAGATATCTTTTAGTTTTTGTGTATTTAAACTATTTATTGGATGAATGTTTCATTTGCTCATTTGGGAACACTACTGCTTATCAGAAAAATTTTATTGTTTTTCTCAGCGATGAGAGAACAGTCACTTGGAATTTCTAAGAACCCAAGTTTAGTCAGTACTTTTAAAGAAACTCAGAAATAAAATCTTAATTAACATAATGTATTAACCATTAAAATGGAACCAACGTTCTAAAATATATTTGTTGTTAGACAATCCACATTTATGAACAGTAGTGCATATTAATGCAGTTATATTAAGGCAAGAGGCACAGATAACAATTTATTTCCATGAATATAATGAAGATCATCAGAGTACCATATTTTATAAGTAACATAAGATTATTTCAAAAAGGAAATTTTATGTTATATATAGAATTTTTAATTAGAAAAGTGCTATAAAAGTATAATGGAAATTTTTATCCTTTGCCATATGGTAAAAAGTATATGGGTTCACAAATTATTTACCAAAATCCCCTGAAATGACACTTAGTTCCCATTAAATCATGGGCACCCTCTATATGAGCTGTTTTCCTTTAGAATAGTATTTCATGATGAATATATTTTTGATTGCAGAAATTTATAGTAGATGAAACTGAACTCATCTAAAATAAATACACTATACAGCATCATAACCATCTAAGTCTTTTTTAAAAAACAGGAAAAAGAAAGGATAATATTTGAAAAATTAACTTTTCACTTAAAGCAACTATCCTCCTCAATTAGTTTCAAATAATAACATGTTTGTAAATATATTGTGAAAATTTGGTTACTGTATTAGAAACACTACATATTAAAGATTGAGTATATTTCTATGATTCATATATAGTATAGCATATTATTTCAAATTTTATTCTAAAACTTATTTTAAATGTGCAGAAGAATATTGATGTTCTTATTGCAATTCCTTTTTACAATAGTGAAATTTAATGCATTATATTTTATAATCTTTTTAATATGATAACTTGCATTTCAGGATCAATTAATGAATTATAAATGTTCCAGATACTCTTGTTTGGTTACAAAATAAAAACCTGTATTTGAATTTTCTAATGGTAAAAGAAGCAATAATTCAGTTGAGGTTGAAGTATTTAAACTATTCTTCTCTATATTTCAAAATTCATGTTTTTTTAATAAATAGATTTATCTATTTGCCCTATAAAATTTATTTTACTATGAAGTGACTCACTTAATAAAATTGCTTTAGATATAAAATTGATCTTGAGTATGATAGACTACAAATAAATTCTTTATTCTCCACCCACACCTAGCACTCCAAAGGGAACTTCCCAGTAGTCTTGCACAATAGTAAGCAATCTTCACTGTTAAATGACTAACAGAGATCCAAGGAAGGTATTTTTTTATGTTTAAACAGTTTTCACTATCAAATATCTTAAACATGTTTAAGATATCAAATATCTTAAACCATGTTCTTTAATATTAAATGAATGTTCTGAAATGTTTTTAGGAGTGACATTATGCTTCCACATTGGAAAATATTTAAACTGACAAATATTTTACATTTTATGAATAGTACATGAACAGATTTATTTGTATATGTTTCCCTTTGCCTGGAAACTAAAATGTTGTATGATCTTCCTGGCCAAAGTAAATGCCATAAATTAAGTAAATTTATCATTAAATGAGGTTAGAGTATCTAAAAACAAATAAACACCCAAATAATTGTTTATGGCCTGAAATGAATAATAGACCTTCAGACGTACTTGTTATAGTCAAAATGCAGACTACTTGTATAAAATTCTAGCTTGATGAATAAACATTGTTTATTACTTACAGCAAGTAATAAGCAATAAAAACTTTTCAATTAATAGGAATTAGGAGAGTTCCAAAACTAACATGTAATTCTTAATATTCTCAACTGCTTGCAAGTGTTCATTTATTTGGATAACAGCATAACAGCAATAAACAATTCCTTTAACATGTATATATTTGCAGCTTTATGTTAAATGATTATAGCATAAGAATTCACTGCTCAAAGGTATTTTTTTTTGTCGTGCAAAAAGAAGTATGAAATGTATTCCAAAGTGCTAAAGAGATTAATTGTCCTATTACTATGAATACGAGAATAAATAAGCATTAGTGATTTATGGCTTAAAGTGCTTGGGTCTGATCATCATTTTGGCCTTTTTGAGGGAAGACTTATAACCAGCAGGCTGTGCCTCATTTATGCCTGGCCAGGTACCCCAGAAAATCCCATTACGGACACCTCTGTATTTCTGGTGGTAATATTTGCCATTTAAGTTTGCAGAAAGACAGGCATCAAACCACCAGCCCGAGCTATAGTAGAGCCCACAGTTCCCAGAAGGATAGCGATCATTGTCTCTGTCTGGAGTGGTGAAAAACTTCTTATCATGGTTGTAATGTTTACTGAAATGTAAGGCATCTCCAGCGGTGCCGTTATAGTCACCAATGTGTAAACGGTATTTGAGAAACTCGTTAGCCACATAAAACTGATCATACAAAGCATAGAGTTTGACACCATTGAAGTCTTCAAGATCTATTCTTAGAATCATATCCTTACTTTTAGTCAAGAGATGAATTTTTTCATTCCCCAGCCAAAATTCTCTTCTGAGGTTTCCAAAGCCTACTTTATAGTCTTGCCATGTTCTGGTGAAGTTGGTGCTTCCATCGAGACGTGCCTGCAGCACTGTCCAGCCTCCCCCCATGGTCTCCATGTCACAGTAAACTTCGAAGCTACTATACTTGGGGTCTGGTGTAACTCTGTAGGTCTCACTGCTTCTTTTGCCTATTGTGTAGTAGTCAGAGCAATCTTTATATATTAGATGTTGAACTGAATAGGAAAAAAAGAAAGGCATTGCATTTTGTTAATAAAATATACACATCTGAAGAATTCCGTACATGTACAAAAGCAGCTTGATAATTCAGTCAATAGTGGTCATGAAGCCTTACTTGAACCTGTTAAGCAATGCTTGTTGTGTTCTCAGAAGAAGAGCATATTATAAAGCAAAGTTCTCCAGCATACTCTTGGTTGGTAATACCATTGACAACAAACAAAAAGAAGAAATAAAAGTTTTAATAATATTTGGTGGGACAACTAGGCATTCTGCTGAAGATTAATGTTTTCACCCTTCCTTAATCTGCACATGAACCTTTTAATATGGATATGATGAGGAGCTTGCCCACTTTCGCAGAAGCATTAAGTGGCAGAGCCAGGACACACACTCATGTCTGGCTGGCTGCAAAACCTGTTTTCATAACCACTGCATTCCTTGATCCTGAAAGTCAGATGATTCCATCTCTCTAAGAACTGCATTTCTCACATAAAAATGAAGCACAGGCTGCTATTTCCTTTCACCTAGTGGGGCTGGTAGCATCCACTGTCAGCAAGTTTTACAGGGTATGTTCCAAGTGGTGCACTAAAATTCCAGTATACAACATTGTTCTCACTTTATATTCATTTCACTAGCTAGACAAATAAGAAGCTCAGGTAAAAGAGAAAGATAGTCCCATAATTTAACAATATTCTTTTTCTGAATTATTATCTAAGAAAACATTTAGTCAAAGTTTCACATGTAGGGTTTCTAAAAAGGAACTACAGGTTCCTTTTAATTTATGTTCAGGATTAGTGTAATAATCCACTAGCATGGTTCTGTAGGGCTCAAATACAGATACTTACTCCCAGATAATTTTTATGAAAATTAGACCAGATAGGTTAAATTTAACATAAGCTACTCTGTACCTCTTTAATCTATTTATGTATAGTTAGAACGCAAAATATTCAGGTATTTCCCTGAGCCCTTTAATAGAAAAAGTAGACACAACAATCTTGTACATGTTACATGTTACCGTAGAGAGTAGAAGCTACTGAGGTGCATCAGCCAAGACATGAGCCCTAGAATCCCTGCAGTGTGAAGGGCACATTCAGCCACAGTGTGCCAGGAATACCAGAGCCAGCAGTGTCTCAGTTTCCACCTACCCCACTGGTAGATGCGCTGGGGGTAAGGTGCTTGTTCTGAATGACTGTGACCCCTGCCTAAGGCACTATGTCCCTTCAACCTCACTGGTGGAAAGGAGAGGTTCTAATGTAGATACAGCCTTCCAAAGACAGCAGTGATCTCAGGAACTCAGGTAGAAAGCCGGAGCTTAAAGGAAACAGTTCCATGGGTAACAGTATTCATTAAAGTTTATTTAAGTTCATTCATTTGTCTGGTGAGATGGGTTGTATTTTCATATGCATGAATTTCTAGTATAAGGTAAAGAGAGCAAAAAATGAAAGGTCTTTCTTCTCTTAGTAGCACACCAAACCTCTTAAAATGTTTTTGTGCTACTAGAACTTGAAGCCAAAACCCTCACACATGCTTGAAGCCATATAGCTGTTTCCATTCTATACTCAAAACCTCCCATTTTCACTAGATATTTGGGATTATAAACTGCATGCAGATTGCTTGATAAAATCAATCCAAACTTTCTTGTTGCTACATGAGAAGAGGCCATCAGCCAACCATGAGAAATGAATTTCCAGTGAACACAGCACAACAGCAAACACCTTCTTTCCATCGCTTTCCAGCACTTCAGTGAAGAGATAAGTGAGTTAAGTGCACTAGGAACATTAAAAAATTCTGTCTCTATGATGTAAAAATAAACTGTTATAAAAAAAAGAAGTGATAAAATAAAAAAATAAAATAAATGTAAAAAAAACAGATATTGATATCTATAGATTTTCATAAAGCTGTAAATATAAAATGGCCATATCATGAATATGAGATTATATCATTCATGCTGCTAAAGGTGAATCGTAAACTATCTTTTTGTAATATAGTTACAAACAGGACAAATTTTGAATAGAAAAAAAAATTCTGTCTCTACTTCTGTTTGTGTGTAATTCTAGTATCAATAAATAACATCTCTGAAATTTGAAAGTGCTTCCTAATATGATTTTTGTAATTAGCAACTGTATGATTTCTGTGGTCACATTTGCAAAGATAATAGATTTCCTATACTACCTTGAGCAATAAAAAGATTCACCTATTTCAGCTATCATCTATTTAATTGCGTAGGTTAATGTTTAGAGATATTGTCGAGCTGCATAACATTCATGAACAAATTATAAGAAAACATTATTATCCATACCTGGACGTGATTGTATGTGTTCTTGATTGGGGCACTTAGATGAACATTTGCCATCCAAATTATTGACAACAAATGTTAGATTTGCCACTTTGCTATCAATATAATTTTCTACATTGTTCATATTTACAAGATTCAGCTTCTCCAGACGACCCTGAAGCACGTCGATCTCCTCCTTTGTACGCTGTAGGTCAGAGGATAACTTGTTGACCTCACTCTCTAGCTCTCTAACTCTGTTGTCGCCAGCCTTTCCCAGGTCTTCTGTGTTAGGCAACAGCAGCCCCCTTCTGCCAGGTTCTCTGTTGTCGTCCGCCTGCAGTTTGCAGTCCTGGCAAGATTTCTTCAGACTATTTACGATTTCTTTGAGGTGCTGGACTTCCTTGAACACCTCCTCAATCCTGCTGAAGTGCTTCGGGAGCTGAATGGTCAACGGGGGCAGGTTCACCTGGTAGGGACACTCGCCTTCCTCGTCGCATTTCCCTCTGCTCTCTAGTCTCACCGGGCATGCGTCGTTGGCTGTTTCATCCTTAATCTCCTCGGTTCTGTTGGTCGCCCCAACCAAGAAGCCATAAGCAGCAAAGACAGCAGAGCTCAGGCAGCACCAGCTCGCAAGCTTCATCTTTGCGGTGGCGCTCAGCCCGGCAGGGAAGTGCAGGGCTGGAGCGTTTTAATACGGCGGCGCCGGCCTGAGTCAGGCGGTCTGTGTTCTCAGAACTGGGCGGGAGTGCTTGCATCACAAGTTTCGGAAACGCAGAGGAAAAGGAGATTGTCCTCTTCAATAGCTTGCCCAAAACTGTTATTTATCCTCAAATATATATGCTTTGGAATTACTGCTGGTGGTTGGATGCCATATTTACCAATTTTCCCTTTCACCTATTTTACAAAGGCACAAGAAAAATCTTGGAGTTCAAAAGAAAAGTTCTTGTAGAAAATCTTTTACTCACACTTAACTCCCCGCAGAGGTTTTGGATATTCAAGATAAAATGTAATGTGCTAGTTATCCAGATTGTTGGCAGAACAGAGCTCTTAAAAAAATGGAAAGGGCCCTTTCCTTCTTCAAATGGGGCACTGAGGCTCCTGTATTTCCTTTAAAAATGTTAGATTTTCAGCTGACATCTTAAACACTTAAGAGAAAAAAAATAACAGTGGGGATTTCAAAGTAGCTCATGGTGTGTAGTTTTATCTCATTTATTTAGAATAAGGAAGGAAATTGGTAGAGAAAGGGGCCACTTTCTGTTCCTTTGACCATAGCCAAGGGTACAGCAGACTCTTCTACACGCTGGCACACAGCTAAAGTACATCCCTTGTCTTTCAACAGAACCAGCAGCCTCCTCCTTTGACCTTCACCATTTTGTGATTGTCTTGCCATCATCCATCCAATGTGTCTCTGAACTGTTCAGTCTGTCTGGTTCCTCTCCAGCCTCCAGCGTTCTCCCTTCCCTCTCACAGTCACCCCTGAGGGCTCAGCCTCTGGGCTTTCTGCTTCCTTCGCAGTCCCTCCACAGGAGCACTTGGGATAGCTCCACTTTTGCCCCAAACAAGTCAACATTCATGCTTTTTCAAGCTTTTCTTGGTTTCAAATTTTTTTCCATGGTTTTCAAACTTTTCTTTTCAGGGGCTTAGGACAGGAGAGCTTCAAAAGGACAAACCCTCTGCTATGTTTTACATGTTGGAATCTCATGTAAGATTTCTTAATAAAAAGGAATTGTATTACTTTAAAAATAATTTCAAGATGACTGATAGATAAGGCAGTCTGAATTTTACCTCATTTATTTCTTCAACCTCTGACTTTTCTATATATCCCCTTCATTCTACCCCATTCCTGTTCTCCATATGCCAGGCTCACCTTACATTTCTGCCATAATATTCACTACAGAATATTTCACATGTGACCTGGTTCTGCCCCTGAATCAAATGTGTAGGTTATTTCCTTTACTGAGGAGTGGCTTATATTACTGTATAGGAGGGATTTGGCCAGTCACCCTGTGTGAGGAATGATACTTATTAAGCTTTGAGTGAAGTTCTTAAGGGGAAAAAATGTGGGTTTGTTTTTTTTTTAACATTACACAAATTGTGAATTGCCACACAATAGATCGTATTAGTATCCCAGAGACCAGAAACAACTGTGAGGATTTACTTTAAAAGTCTACCTAAGAGGATGTTATGGAACCAGTTCCCCTTGTCTTGCAACTTCTGAAATAACATTTAGGAAGAAAACAGGCAGGGGAAAAAAGAGTCACTCAAGAAATTATTTCTAAAGTGATGGAATTTCACAGTTTAAAATGACTAAATCAGAGCCCTCCCTGGTGTCGCAAGGGGTTAAAGCAGCAGCACTATGAAGCTACCACAGCCACTGCAGCAGGAGTGGTGGTGACCCACATGGCGAAGCGGACTTCTGACCAACCTGCTCCCCTCAGCAGTGGACTTCAATCGAGTTGCCTGTTCTTCTCCCCACTCTATGTCTGGTAAATCCTCTCACCAGCCCCACCCCGGCACCTCTGGTCTGTACCCCAGGTCTGTAGGCATAAATAAATAAATCTTTACAAAAATAAAAATGACTGAATCATAAAGCTGTATCTGTATGTACTAACTTGTCACATTTACATGTGTACATACATGAAATGATATCGCTGTAAAGAAAATGAGTGAGCACACAAAAATATATCTTAGAATCATATCATAATCTCAGTCTTATTTTCTACATACCATAGCTTATAAAAAGGAAAATTTAGATTTTCTTTCTTTCCTTTTTAGAGATTAATGCATACATTTTTAAGAATTATATAACGGACATTAAAACTGGCAAAAAAAGTACAAAAATAGGGCAGAGTATCCCCTCACTCAGTCCCTCCCTATAGGCAAGTAAAAAAGCAGTGTTTACATGTAACATACTTGCCAAGCAAATTTGTCAAACATGTTTTGCATACATTATGCCTCATTTTCTTCCGTCTTATTCCAACCTTTTTCTGTCTTGTTAATTCCATTAAATGTCTTAACTTATTTGAGATAAAAAAATTTTTAATTTTTGACTGCAAATATCTATTTAATCTCCCTATTTCATATCTCCTCACCTGCTTTCAATGGTGATGATACTACACTATTGTGAATAGATAGATAAAGGAATGATAGATAATCTTAAAAAGAAAATGATAACCTATAAATATTTTATACAGTAGAAATATGTAGGAATGGTTTTTAATTTGTGATGCATTATTAAATGACCTTGACTGACTAGAGGCTAAATCATATATTTAGCCAGTCAAGTTTACTAAAGATCTTCTATATACTCTGCACTGTGCTAGAACTTATAGATGCCATGATTGCTTTCATTCTTTAATTCACTTATTTATTTATTCCTTTTGCTCATTCAGCTGTCAAACATTAACTGCATGCAAGACACTATTCCAGACACTTAGACTACATTGAGGAACAAGTCAAACAAAAATCCTTTTTCCTTTGTAGGAAGGAGTTTTGAGGACCTTGTGTTTTCTTCATTTTGAACTTCCAAGTGAAATCATAAGCACTTTTAGAAGTTTCTAAATCTAACAAAAGTGCAGTTCTCTGACTCAGAATGGGCTTTTGTTCATCTGTTTGAATCAGGGATTTGCTTTGCAAGTACTGCTGTTAATTGTTGGGCCCTACACACTCTACTTAGCCAAGGAGCAATGGCTTAGTTGTACCTAAGAAACTTAGATGTGCTGTGAGAACTACTACTGCTCCTTTAGGACCCATAAAAATATCCTCCAAATAAGGCAGAGAACTTCTTTATTAGCCAGTGCTCATTTACTCTCATAGGTGATTCTCTAGATTCTCAATTTAAAATGTTGGTCCGTCACAACAAGGCAGACACTAAGTTGCTTCCACGTGAAAGAGACTCAACCCATCTGAGGATCTTAAAACCCTGGGTCATAGACTGTTGTGTCACACCATGCAGGACGCTTTTGCAAATACTATTGTACTACGTCTTCCCACCTCTACAATTATTACCTGCCCTTGAGGATGGGCAAAGAAAAGAGTTAAAGTAATAAATGACTTGCCTATGGCGTTTCGGTGTTTAAGAGACTGTTGGAATTTGAACCTGAATATGACTCCAAAGGTCATATCTTTTGTCCATACCACACTACCACTTGTGAGAAAGGCGATATTAGAGATACATTAATACCATGTTGTAGAGAGCCTTATCTTTAAATCACTGCCTAAATTAGTGAGGAGCCACTGAAGGTTTTTAAGCAAGAGATTAATATAATCAATTAGGCACTTCAGAGAAATCAATCAATGAATACTAGATATATTGGAAAAGGAAAGATTAGAAATAGGGAAGAGTTAAGAGTCTCTCTAAATAGTCCAACTCATGTGTCCCCAATGTATGTGTTCTGGAACATGAGTTATTAGATGATAATGAATGTTACATGCAAGTAGAGTTTCAGGACAAGTTGCTCTGAAAAATCAGGCATATGCTAATGTGCATTATGACTAATGAACATTATGACTGACCAAGAGGAAAGTAATGTATCCTGTTATCTTTTTCAAGCTGAAACTGATAATGGAAGCTTTTTTTGCCCCCTGGGACCTTTTTAGTAGGAATAAGTTTCATGCTAGAAACCAGCAGAGTACAGTATTGTAAGTAAGCAGTACAAGCAATCATTCAGTGGTGGACAAGGCTGACAGTCAAGGCAGGGGGTGGGGTGGTCACACACACAGTCGACAAAGAGGGCTAGAAGCCTTTAGATCTGATATGTGATGAGAAATGGAAGAGGGAAAGTTGAGGGAGAGCAGGAAACATAACTTTAAATGAAGTAATATTGTGGCAATGGGAGTAGATAGGGAGAAGTATGTTGGGGATACTGTTGAAATATTACTCTGTTTTGAATACAAGGCTGTCAAATAGAAATATCCAATAAACAACTGGACCTCTATGTATGAAATGTTAGAGAATGAACATGGATGCCAATTTTTACATACAGGAACAAAAGAATCCTCAAGTCAGGAATCAGAAGAGCACAGTCATGAAGATCAGGAAAGGGAGTTTCAGGAAGGTGACCATTAGATAATCAAAAACTTGAAGACCTGACTTCTTGTTTTCAACTCTTAAGGAATTTTCACCCTCTGACCTTAAGTATTTACCCTCTTTTGCCTGTTAAGAAGTCTTTCTGGATTTTCTCATGCCCAGTTTAAAATTGTGGCACAGTGGGTTAAAGCACAGTACTAAGAAGCTAAAGCCACTTCAGCATGAATTCTATCCCTGCCCTGGAGGTGACCCACATGGCCCAGCAGACCTCTCCTGACCCACCAGCTGCTCCCCTCAGCAGTGTACTTCAGCCTGTTCTGCTCCCCGCTCTGTCTCTGGTGAATCCTCTCACCGCCACTGTGCCTCTGGCCTGTACCCCAGCTCTGTATGTATAAATAAATAAATATTTTTTTAAAAAGTTTAAACGTACATGATGTGCTAATGAAAATACCTAAGTCTTCAGTGAGTTTTTTTTTTTAAGACTTATTTATTTATGCATACAAGCACTGGGATACAGGCCAGAGTGGGGAGAAGGACAAGCAGATTGACCAAAATACACTGCTGAGGGAGAAGCGGGCAAGACAGGAGAGGTCTGCCACACAATTTGCATTCACCTCCCTGAACTGGGATTGAACTCATGCCACAGTTACTGCAGATAGCTTCATAGTGCTGTGCTTTAACCCTTTGCACC